TGTCTTCTAAATGGTTGTTTAGAAGTTACGTTGTACCGTTTATGAAGGTGACGCAATTTACGATTGCTGTATATCGAGGTTTAACAGGAGATGGCAAGAGAGGTCTTTACTCCGAATGATAAACACGATGTATTTTTTTTCTGGTGTACATTTTCTGGAAGTGATATTCGTCCTTTCAACATGCGAACCAAAGTGTCGAAAGGATGCTTATCTCTTCCAGGAAATCTTCTGCTTTTACCTTTAACCTTATACTGCTTAATTATATTATTTATAACTTAAGGTCCTGTAACCTTTCTATATCGGATTATCTTTACTTTTCCGGCTGTTATTTATGTAACACGGGCAAGTACTGTGATCTTCCGGTGGTTCTTGCAAATCTCCACGTTTTGACACCCGCTGAAAACCCCCTAAAAAAGGAAAAAATTCCGTGCGTATGGGTCACGTCTCGTGGGTTTAACGTGCGAATAATCGGGTAAAAAGTTGCGCAAATTTATTATTTATGTTTAATTAATGGAAACGATAAGGATTACACATATCTAAATAGCATAAGTACGATAAAATCATTTTGTAATACACTTAATTTCGATTGTTATCGTTCGTAAATAACAATTATCTGTGTCATTAGTCGAAGTTACTTATCGTCAACGCATAGATAGGTACGAAGTAGCTTTGTGTCGAGTGTAATCTACTTAAAACGATAAACCGGGGGAATTTTACCGGTTTTATCGAGGTGCCAGTCGGGGTTACTTCTGTATCTTCTCGTAATTAGGGGGGCATTTCGTAATAGAAGACCACGGCTAACCCGTTATCTTCGAATTTCTAGAAAAATCCTCCCTAAAATTTCTCCCGTGTTTAGTGACGTAATTTCCAAAGGGTAGTGACGAAACAGAACAATTATCCCGAATGGCACTAAAATCGATTGTTTAAAATAACTGAAAGACGAGCAATTTCTCCCGTCAAACGTGTGCTCTACGAGGACCTCCACAATTCCGGAAGGACCGTACTGTGGCTTTGACACGTGATTATCGAGATGTGGTGGTTAAATTTTTTGCCCGCACCTTGCAGGTGATGGAGAGGGGTTCTTTTTTATGGTCCACTTTCGGGGACTCCATTCTACCGAACTTTTGGGCCTGGAAGTTCTTGCAGGCGCACGAGGTCCTTTGGATCTTGTCGGATGCGAAGTCCAGTTAACGATTCGAGCTTAGGCGTACCAAAGATGTAAAACCACCATTGTAAGTGCTGTACTCGATGGAACGGTTTTATACTGCGTATGGAATTGACCCTCTAGAGACACTGCTTTTGTACAAATTGACTCTGTGAAGACACCTCTTTAGTCTAACACCCGAACACGCAAAAGGAAACCCGTCTAAGACGTCTCCTCGTTAAAACCCTTACTAACATTGACTTCATTAATAAACCGTTACGCTTAATTTTCTATATAAAACGTCATTTTTTGTTACTTTATCCGACCCGAGAAGACGAGGAAACGAGTCCTTGGTACACCGTACCTTGTATACATTCGAGTAAATTATCTACCAACCTTTATCATGTGATTGCAACCGCAACTTTCCGATAATATATATAATATATATTTATTTATGAAATTATACATATTAATCTAGTGATAATTATCGAGATAAACACTTGACCTCCCCGAGATAGTAGTATACATAAACGAATTGTACCGAGAACATTTCTCTCCCCCTTACGAAGTTATTAATTAAGCAATTACTAGGGGAGGATGATTCATTCAAATTGAATCTATCTTATCTAAACACCAGTCTCGTGCTCTCCCAATATGTTTTTAACGATAACTAAATGTGTCACCCGTATACGGCGGACACTAGACATAACCCGTGATACTTTCCTCTTCTCCTGACGATTTTCTCTATATTATTATTCTTATTACTGTGTATTTTTATGGTTACGACCTTGTTTACTACCAGTATTCTACATAGGTCAAAGGTCAAGGCTTCCATTCCTTCTTGTTTTTAAACACCGGACAACTCTCGGAAAAATGATATACAGTCGACCCCCTATAACACTGTTGATTATTCCGTTTTATATGAATTCCGTGTTGTACGAGTCACTTAGATTTTACAAATACGTGTGCCGTTCTGTGCCCGGCTCACGTATTTGTAAAATCTAAGTGACTCGTACAACACGGAATTCATATAAAACGGAATAATCAACAGTGTTATAGGGGGGTCGACTTGTATATTAAGTTAAATATAAGACAGATACCTTTACGTGTATAGGCTGTACTAATTTAGGCTGGTATACATTTAATTTACACCTGAAACCGTGTGTTTCTAAATAATTGTAAACAATAATAATAAGACACGTCATTTCACTAGTTACGATCGTGTTTACACGCGCTCGAAGTGTTTACGTACGAGTTGTTTAAACGAACGAACACGCTAAATAGGAAAATCGACTGGTGACGTCAGACGTCTCGACCCCCCTTCTTATAACCCGTCTTCGTTATTGTCTTATATATCGTACGATTTGTCGTTCGACGCGTGACGTCGCTTAGTGTTTTGAAACACCGGAATCGATTACGTAATAATAGCACGTGCTATTATTGTATTGTTTTTTTAAAAACTTAATACACGTTTACAATTTAAAACAATTGCCAGAAGAATTCCTCCGCGTTAAATCGCGACTTTTTTTGTAGGATTAACTTAGAAATGCGGGTGAATTATTGGCTTAAGATAGATCAAGAACTTCGCCTTTTGATGTTTAGAATAACATTTTACAGATGACATAAAGTTTATAACCTCAAAATAAAGAAAAAAAAATATCATCCTTGTGACGGAATTAGTCACAAGAATGTTTGTCCAGATAAGATTTCTGCATAGTTACGATTCATTAGGAATTACGTGTGATAAACACAGATATCAGACAGGACCGTTACGAAGATAGCGTTATATAGGGTGAGTCTTATAACACAGAGTCCGTTTTATACGAAGTACGGTACGTCATTTGTCTTGCTTATATGGTAGAGAGATGGGTAAATGATACGGCGCTGTGACGTAACTCTGGCTTTACAGTAATTTACTACTCAATATAACGCTACATCCCGATATAACTGTGATAAGGATAAACGTTATAAACCAGTTTAAAAACCCGAATAAAGCGGTATTATTATCGCTTTATGCGGGAAACTGTTTCCTAATTCAATCGATTGTAAACTAAAATTCACAAGTTCAGAAGAAACACGAAATCCGAGTAAAAGTATCTTCACCTCACTTATTAGTGTGACGTAATAAAGCTACGTCATAGTCGGTGTTCGTTTTGAGGTTCTCATACAATTAATACAGTGCGCTCTTGATAATCCGGCACACCCCTTTATAATGTTTCTCTTATTAATTTTTCTTATTTTTTTTATGAATTTATTACATTGAATTTAAACTTACAATTACTGTATCTCTGTGTATAATTTTATACTAACGAAAATATTAAATCTACGTAAATTTACACTCTCAATAATCCGGTAAACCTCTGTATCGAAATAGAAAGATGGCGGAAATGTCACTCAGCACCCTCTTCGGGAAGGCTTTCCATATAATACATCCGCCATATTTAAAAATATATATATAAATAAATTTATATTTGAGAAATTAATTTTATTCGTTTAATATCTAAAGGTGAATTTTAATAAATTGTATAAATTAAATAATAATAATTTTATTAGGAAATTTAAAGTCGCCAGATCGCGATGATCTGGCAACACGGCGTTATTCGATGACGTTAAAATGGAGACAGCGACGAGTGTTGCCAGATCATGGCGATCTTCGTTTTGCAGCCCGACGCATCAGAAAATATAAATTCTTCTAGAAATAAACGAAGTAATTCGAATGACGCGTGATGTAAGGAATGCGTTGACGCGTTATCCTATGGTTTAAAAAATAGGGCGATTGAGAAGGGGCCCCAGTCAATCGCCCTTTTTTACCATAGGATCCCTCTTAATTCAAATTTGCTTGGGCCCCACGAAGCTATAACGCGCCACTGAAAGAATGCTATAATAATAATAATAATACACTCATCCTACCACAAAATTTGCCGTGTAATTGGGAAGAAAAAGAAACGGCGGGTGCAATCTTACGTCATCAAAGATTCGCCCTCCCTCCCGCCATCTTCAGCAATCGTCACGTACAAACAAATTCTTCCCTCCTATATTATGGTGTTCCATTCAATTATTATTGACGTAACACTTGAATGATCCCTTATCGATAATGATGATGCAATCCTTGAAAGTATGTAAATATTTTGCAAGACATGATTTTCTTTTTATCACTTCAGAGTTTTGATCGAATTTCTTCGCCGTCACGCGATAAATTCTGCTTAAAACCGCCCGCGATCCGGCTCAGTGTGTATCAAAAGTCGGTTAACCGCCTCTCGCTAATTCGGCTCGGGCGCCAGATTAGCCGGAATGCCGGATTGCCGAGTGTGCTTGGACCTAAATCCCAGCGACGAATAAAGTCACCTGCCGCCTGTCGTAATTGTCAAGTGGTTTTTGGGCCACTTCATACACTATACTCTCGTTAATTCGACTTACTTTTCAGGTGCCAGATTAACCGGAATGCTGAGCGTGTGTAGACCTAAGGCGATGAATGACGCCACCTGTGCCAACTTTATTGTGAAATTATGTATACAGCGACATACAGTAATTTGAATTCTTTGTTAAATTTAATGTTACAAGTTTACCGTATTTTTATATTTAAAAAAAGACCACGAATAAGAGACAAGCACATTATAACGGAAAGCACGCCGAATAATTGAGGGAATGGAATAGAATGTTTTATTATTATTATTATTATTATTATTATTAATTCCCGCCGCCTTCGAAGCGAGAGCGGCGACAGGCGAGATCCTGGATGCCATTCGCACGGATGAATCGTTTTGCTGTTTATAAATGGAATTTTTTCGCCCGCGGATAAACACCAGTTTGACCTTGACCCCCGAACCCGAATAGATTCGATAAAGCCAATAAGAAACGTTTGCCCGTTGCTAACTCCCCGATAAAGCATTGTTTGTTTACGGGTCGTTATCCCCTTCGGTAAACAAGGAGTCCTCCTGAAGGTCCAGATTATTTTCGGTAACGAACAACACTTAAAAAACAGAAGCGGAGATATACCAGGAATTCGTTCGCTTCCTGTCTCTTCGGCCGTAATCACGCCATACTGATATGACGTCACGCAGGAAGCGATAGCTGCGTAACGTAATCGGCGAGTATATAAACCGAGGCGATCGTAACTTTATTGTATCACTCTGGCAGCGCTCGTTTCAAACAAAAGGTAAGAGAATCGAACCCTTTTTAACGCAGGCATCTCGCTTATTTTAAGATACAAAGGTGACGCCCCGTAAGCGGCGCCATCTTGTCGCGCTAACGAACTCGGAAATCGGAAGTGCGGAGTGGTAAACGGCCGGCGGCACTTGCCAACTGTTTTCTGTAAGGGAATAACCCACCCGGTGTGTATCGAGTGACGTCACCCCCTCGCAGCGGTCCAACATTTAGATTACGGCGCGTCGTCGGAGGTGTCGTAACGCCGTCATCTGTGCGGCCAACGACGCGTTTGGCATCACCCGGCGTTCGTTCACACGAAGATTCTCCGGATTATTTCTCGCGTTCGGACGCACCAGCGACGTCACAGTAAACCCGAGCGATTTGCAACGAGCCGCTTCCGACAAGTTCAAACTCGTCCGGCCCGTCCCGTGCCGGAACGCCGGTGCGGAATTGTTATCATGCCACGTGAAATCGGCGGCACGGAATCACATGACCCGCCTCTCTGCCATTAATCAGTTGAAGTACGATAGGAGGTGTTATCTCTATAAAAATAAAACAGTCAGATAAAGGAAATATAAGCAATACTTTTATCTCAATTGTTTTTATTTCAAACATATCACGACTAATTTAAAACTTTTTTTTTAGCTTCTAAACTTTGCGTTCGAAATGGCAGTCAAAAGCTGTGGCAGTGAACGAAGCGATTCCATTATTATTATTATTATTATTATTTTAACTGTTTGTAACTCCGAGCGGACTCGAGAGGCCATGTTGTTTTTTTAATCACGTGCATAAACTTTTTTTTGTTTTCGTCAGCAGATGGCGTCACGTCGGCGCTTCAGTAGACGTATGTGGTAGTTCGAATCGTCTGGGGGGAAAGAAACAGTTTAGACGGGCGCAATAACGGAGTGTAGAAATACGCTAATAAAGCGTTCAACTCACGTTTTCGGTGGTACCGACGGACGATCGCAGTTCGTCCAGTTCTTTCTGCAGGCAGCGACACTTTTCGCTACAATTCTGTAGGTAGAAGGTTGCCTCCTGCATCTGCTGATTGACGCCATCATAGTTGGAGTGCAGCTCCTGCAAACACAAGCAAGCGTTAGCGGAGAACGGCGAACGCGCAGGCGCCGTCGGAGCGTTCGTAAATCAAGTCGGAACTCACGGTCAGCTGCTTGGCCTGCTTCTTGATCACCTTGAGCAGCTCCTCGTTCTGCCGGTACGTCCCCTCCAGTTGGTAGGCCAATTCGGTCAGATCCGATTGGAATTTACTTCCGGATCCGTAAACGTCACCCTTGACCGCCAATTCGGCTTCGTTCAGGCGCTTGGTCAGCGAGTCAATTTTGGTTTGGAAGTCGTGGCTGTCGGGGATAGAAACATCAAAAAAAAAATACAGTCATTTCTCGCCGCTCGTGTTGGCGCTAAATCCGGGCGTGCCTCAACACCTGCCCCGGGTCACGTGGGTGGAGGAAGGTGACGCCGAAAGTCGTTCAGGTAAAGGATATATCCAGGACGGTTATATATTTATTTTTATTTTTTATTTATTTTTTGACGATTTTGGCACGGCACCAAACTCCAAACCTCTCCAACCAAACACGGAGAAGAAAGCTAATCTTGCCAAAATGGCTAACACCTGATGCGGCAAGGTCGGCTCGGGGTTGACAGTCTCTCTTACGTAACGCCATCTGTTGACGAGTGTCTCATTCGGGTGCGTTAATAAATAAAAAAAGTGTAAAGAACAAACCAATGAAACGAGAGGGTTGAGAGATTTTTTTTTTTGAATTTTTACTCCGTTGGCCAGAAAAAACAACAAACTACATTATTTGTTTTTTCAAAAAGAAAAAAAAATGTTCAGACAACTTGAATTTCTCGAGAGTTTATAACAAGAAAATTTTAAAAACGATTTCGGCGAAGCGTCGGTGGAGCGCAGGTGTCCTTGGACAATTTAGAGCCAACGAGACAGCCGACTTCTGGGCCTCCTAGAAAGACCAAAACAAATCTCTGAGAACATGCGAAAAAAAAAACAAAAAACGCGCGCGCGCGCTCGCACGCGCAGACAAACAAACAAACAAACAAACAAAAACGGACGCGCGCGCGCGCGCGCGCGCACACACACACACACACGAAATTTATCTTGCAAAAAGGCTAAACTCGCGCCGCCGTCTCACTCGAACGGAATTTGGGATATTTTTAACTCCTGGCCCACGTCTCGAGCGGAAATTTCGACTTCCACATACGAGCAAGACTCAGTCGATTGACGCTCAGCCAAACAAATCTTCTCTTCCTTTCCGGTATTCGTTCCTTCCCCCCTCGAAGGTCGCCTTTCCCTCCGGTCTCCCGCGACTTGCTGGGAAGAGTAAATCCGCGAGCGCGACTTTCCCCCCCTCTCATGGTTTTTCTGCCTTTTTTTAACGCGGCCGATACAATAGAAATCCTTACCATTTGTCGGCCCAAACCAAGGAACTGTAGCTGTCCAGCTTGCCAGATTTGAGTTGCCACTCCAGCTCGTCCAGTTCCCTCCAGCGCTTCTTGCTCTTGAGGTCCAACTCGGTCAGATCCGTGGCCGAGGGCGAGCGGTACAAATAGGAGGAGAGTGGCACCCAGTAATCGTCACTCTTCTTGTAGCTCAGGTCGTCCATCGAGTAGCATCTTCGAAGATTCGAGGTCGAACTCGACTTCTTCAGATCGTAGTCGTAATCGAGCAGATCGTAGTAGCCCGGGTAGGACCACTGTTTAGAAGGATAGTAGTGGCTGTAATAGTAGTAAGTGGGATCGCTGTAATAGTAGTAGGACGTGGGCGTGTAGTACTTGTAGGGACGGTAGGAATAGGCGTAGGGAGACAGATAGGACGAGTAGTACGAAGGGTAGTGGAAGGAGTAGTAGGGCATGTCGTAGTAGTAGTAGGTCTTTTTGACCGGTCCCCGCCTGACGCTGGTCGTCGAGGGCCAGTAAAGCTTGGAGGGCGACATGTAGGAGTCGTAGGAACCGTAATAGGGTCGGTTGGAGTCCAGGTGAGCGCGGAAAAGGGCCTGGCGATACTTGCGTTCCACGTCGTCCAGGGCACCCGAGTAGAGTCCGGTGCCGTAGCGATAGTTGTGGTCGTACATCAGGGAAAGGGGTCGTCTCCAGTATCCTGGCATATTGTCGACTCGTAAGCTTTCCTTGGGATATCTCACGCCGCTCGCAAAGTCACCGCCGATCTTATACCCACACTGTGTTAACAGAATTTGGTGCTGGCGTGACGTCAGCCGCAGCTACGTAACCGAGCGGAGGAAACGAATGGGAGGGAATTATATAGGGTCGGATATTTTTGCATTTTGTCACGGCCTTGAGGAAAATCGCTTTCGCCTTGCCAAGAGCGGCGAGCGGATTTTGGGTGGGAAGTGGACAGGAACGATTCAAAATAAACATCGCGCTCTCGCTCCCGCCTGTTTTTGTTGCCGGTTACGCAACAGGCGGCGGGGCACACCCGGTCCGAAAGGACTCTCCGGTACCCCCGCGCAGGGGGGGAGGCGCCGGTGTGGCCGCCGGGGGAGGGTAGGCCCCACCCTCTCCGTCTCTCCGGTCGGCGGAAGGTAACAGGAAACTCTAAAATCGGGAATCGCATTCCAAATTTAGCCTGGAAAAAAAACCCGGTGAAAGTGATTAAGCGAGCGTAAATATTTGTCTAACCGTTTTCAAATGGTATTTTTCGCCACCGACCAATGATCGCCGCACCCGAACGGTGACGTGAGGATTCGGTTTCCACCAATCGGAGGAGGCACTATCGGGTTTCGTCCGCCATCTTGGATGCTGTCACGGTTACCGAAGCGTCCGTATATATCACGCCCTTTAATATTAAAAAGTGCAGCCGGAGAGTAAATCTACCCTTCTGGAAGGGCTCACCGAGAAAGATGGCGGCGGCGGCGGCGTCTATATATGTGTATACATAAATATATATAATAATTTTTCTTTTCTCAAGTTTCCCTTTTATTGTTCGTTACAAAAATTAACGAGAGGTGGCGGTCAACGGGGGGGACATGTCAGAGGTCGCGATCTGAGAAAGGAAGTGGCAGAACGTGTCGGGTTACAAGGAGCGCCCTGCCAAACACTTTCCCAGAACAATGAAAAGCACCTTGGCAAGGACGTTCTCTCTTCCATTGTTTATTTTGCAGTCATGTTACAATTGGAGATCGGAGAGGGACGACCGAACGAGGGATGCGAAAAGACCGATCTGGACGTCACCCCCGGATTTTACCGCCTGGCCGACGTGGCGACGCACTGCGAACCGGACGATTGCTGGGTAATCGTGGGGCACAAGGTGTATGACGTCACTTCATTCTTGTCGGAGGTGAGTACAGGCGGGAAGGGGGACGCTCGCCGTATCCGTCTAACGCCCCTCTCTTCTTTAAACTCACGCAGCATCCCGGAGGATACGAGATAATTATGGAACACGCGGGTCGTGACGCAACTATTGCATTTTATGGAGCGGCACACTGGAAGGAAGCGTTTCGCCAGCTGGACAGGTTTTTGGTGGGTGTTTTAGTAGAGGTGAGTAGTGTTTCCTTTTTTTTTCCTCCCTTTTCGAAATTTCCCGCGTTTTCATCGACTGTTTCTTTGCAGTACGAGCGTCTAAATTTATTCGACGAAGACCCCATGGAGATGGTTTCCGCCCGATGAGCGTATTGCCCATTTCCCACGGCTCAAGAAACGTGTACATAACGTGAAATCTCATTTTAATGTGTTGTTGTTATCTTGGCTCTTTGTACTTTTGTACGACGCGTGTTTACAGAATCGATTATTTTTATATAGAAATCAATAAAGTATATTATTCATTCAGAGCGCCTCTACCGTCGATACCGAACACTAAATTCGAAATGAGGAAAGTTCGTTATTGTTATTATTATTGCTTCGTTAAATCGGGGGATTCCGGTGTTGACTACTTGGACGAGTAAAAGCGATTACGTAACGTGCTGCCGGGTATTAATACTTTGTCGAGGTATTACAAGGCGGCGGAAGGGGGGGTCAAGAAGAATCGGGTTTTCTCACGTCCTCGCTGGATTTCTTCTTTGTGGCCTTCTTCTTCACGGAATTCCTGTGCTTCTTTTTCACCGACTTGTCCGCTCCCCTAGACACCGGGGTGATGGACCTGCTCTTCTGTCCGCGCGCTTTGGTTTCCGGCGTGGAACAGGGACTGGGCGTTTTGCTGACTTCCGGTACGGCCAAACGGTTTGTTTTTCTGCTCAGGGACTCGGACTTCCTTCCCCCCGTCGTCTTTCTGAGGGGGGTGCGGCGTTTGACTCCCGTTTCCTCCGCCTGCTGGTCCAGGGACTGGTTCTCCTCCGCCCCCTCTTCGTCTTCCGCCACCGCCTGCCTGGTAAAGTAGTCGTAGCAGAACTCGTGCGCGTTGTCCCCCAGGTTTTCCTCCCCCCAGTCGTCCGGCACGCGTGCTTTGGCGTACGATCTGACGTTCCACGGCGTGCTGCGCGTCGGCACCTGTCCGTACGACTTGCGCACCTTACGCGCCAGTTTGGCCAACTCTACGTATCTAAAAGGGGTAGAAAACAACGCGCGTGAGTGGGGAGGAAACAATGGTAAACGGCGGACGTGGCGCCCTCTCACCTGGTGAAAATGTCTTCCTCGAATTTGCTGGCGGGTCGACACAAAGTCAGCATCTTCCATTCTATGTCCACTTGGCACATTTCCTGTATGTTTACCTGGCGCATGGAGGCCGGGATGGGGTCCAGAAACGGAAATTCGGGCGAAGTGGAATGTCGTTTAGAGGATCGAGCATTTATCAAGACGTCCTCCTCCTTCGGTTTCTCCGAACGCAGCTTCAAATCCGCCACCTTTAGTAAAGCCGATTCTAATTGGTGGACCGATTTAATTTTGATTCTACTCAGGTCCAGGAAGTTAAGTCTCGTCTCTTCCGCCATTTGTCCGATTAAGGCTAGCGTGACGTAACGGTGCTATCTGTCCGGATAAACGCAACGTTAATTAAACCTCCCTTACTCCCTTTAATTAATAAAGTCGCCAACGTCATCGTGATTAACGTAAACAAGTAGAGAACAGAACTCTTACCAAGGTACCAACTGTTCTCTCGACCGGTAGTACGCGTACCCCTAAGTCTGTACACGGTCGCACGCGAGTGGAATAGGTTGGGAAACGCTGTCGCGTATGAATGGAAAATAATACATAGGGTGGCCCAAAAGTAACTTAACTGTTATAGAAACGAATATGTATTGTAACCCAGAAGTTACTTAACCGCTATAGATAGAAACTAATGTATAGGGTGGTCCAGAAGTCACTTAACCGTTCGTATAAACCAGATACTTTTGCGAATCCGAATAGTAAAACGAATTTAGAGCGATTATTACAAAACTGGTACCGAATTCGGTACGGCTGTTTACGTAATAAGGCGGCAGTTTCGTCTTTACGGCGGTTAACCGACTTTCGGACCGGCGCAATTAGAACCACGACCGACAAGGATTAATGAATAAAAATCACCCGAACCGCACTCGTACTCGGGCAATTGCCACGGGTTCCAAAACTGCAAAAATCGATAAAATATCGTACCGGTTCCGGTACAGCCGGTCGGTAGGTCTGTCAGTCGGTTCGAAATTTTAAAAATATTCGATCGAGAAGCTTTTCAATCGTGTGAAGTCCAAGAAAAAAGTTCGAATTGAACGAAGCTAAATATAAACCCGTGTTTCCCATTATTCGGGAAGTTTACAGCACGGATCGATGGACGGACGGACTGTGACGTTTCTACGACGATTTCTCTTTCGAAACAACAGGAAAAAAAACCCTCTTTACGTAACATCTGATGACGTTTCCACCTACTTATTTTTTCCCCATTTTTCCGTATCGCCATTTCCGGATTTCGCGTATTAAGCACGCAAACACGCGCGCAATTCCTTTAATTCGCTCGAATTAATACGGAGGAAATAAAATAAAAAAAAACGCCTCTTATTAAAACTCCTCGCCCTTTCTCTCTTCCTCGTGCTAAAGATAGAATTAATTTAATTAATCATTTCTGTCGCTTCGTTCCGTTTCGGGATCGAGTCTTACCTGTAAACAGACGACAACTGAATCGTGCATGTTAGGCTTAGAGCGGTCGCAGACGACGAAACGACCTTCGCCGATTGGACGAAACGTCGGCAACGCTTGGCGTCGCCACTACCGGTCGTTACGTGACGTCACTGCAGCAACAATAGTTATAATCGGTTTCCACGGCAACCGCCCGTCCCTGGCGTGCCACTTGCTGCGTACTCCGTGACGGAAATTAGTGCGTTTAAGATATTAAAGCTAAGTTCGAGTTTTCCCGATGCTACGGGCGAGTGCGGGGGAGAATTAAAAAAAAAAAAAAAAACGAGAGAAAAGTCTGCCGGATCGCCGGGTTACTCCTCCGATTCCTCGATTTAGCGTCGCCGTACGTCTGGCGTTAAGTCGAAGAAACTCGAACAACGCCATCTGTTGAAGGACAAGTTCGATTGGGGGATCGAGTCATGTGATTCAGTCACGAGACTTTCTATTAATAAACGACGACCCGTTGGCGCTTTACGGGGGTGGAATTATTCACAACCGCGCTAATTCGAGGTTTGGTAACAAATTATTATTATTATTTGTTTTAATACTAAGGATGAAAACGCTGTAATTTCCTTTCTCGACGTTTTCTTTCTATAAGGTGAGGTTAAACCTCTATATAGCGCTACCCTCCCGAATTTGCTTTGCAAACGGCACCGTCGTCACCAAATCACGTGACTTTCCAAATCCGGTTACGTAATGTACAGTCCGATTGTTAAGACAATTCGATATAGCGCCAGTTTAAGAGGCGAACAAACCACGACGCTAATACAGTTATTATTAATCAGGTAACTTTGTCTAGCGCTACAATCGATTTAATAAATAAAATAGCGGCGCTAAATCGAAACTTTGTGGATCGAACCGGATTGGTGTAATGGGATCGGGTAACCCGACACGCGGGCGGTTTGCCAAAGGGGGCGAGGACTTTCTACGGGGGAAACGACCCCTCGTTTACACGTCAGACACGCGATTAGGAATCTCTCTTCGCGTCCGTCCAGTGCGAGTTTACACTTTCTAAATCGCCATTTTGTTAAGAAAGAAAAGCGAAAGTAAACCGACAACACCAGACACGCGTACGCTTCCTTCCCCCCATAACACTGTTGATTTTTCCGTTTTATATGAATTCCATATTGTACAAGTCACTTAGATTTTACAAATACGTGTGCCGGGCACTGAACGGCTCATTATTTATATAATCTAAGTGACTCGTACAACATGGAATTCATATAAAACGGAAAAATCAACAATGTTATAGGGGGATCGACTGTACAAGGCCCGAGAGCTTAAACGAAAACACCAAAAAATCCAAGAGAGACAATACAAGATGGCGTCGGAAATCTGGTTATTATTAGTCTATTATTATTATTATTATTATTTAATTACAACGCTTACAATAAGTAATCTACAATTTTTGCTTGTTTTTCGGAGGAAGTCGGCATTCGAACCCTCTTCTGATCTTCCTAAATTTAATTCTAGAGGAATATTTTAGTGAGGTTCCTGAAAGAAACGAAGGCCACAGTATCCGCACGCATGATTTCCCGGTTGATCCTGCCAAAAAACCAAAAAACCCGGCATCAATCATCACTTTGACTTTTGGCCAGTTTTTTTCTTTTCCTGACCTTCCCGATGTTTACGCCGTTTTTAAACTTAATTAACAGATAATTATTGATAAGTAAAAAAAAAAAAAAAACACGATAATTGAGTTAATTAAATTTGATTGTAATTAGCCTTTAGTTCGATTTCTTGAGGAATTTTATCGTTAATTTAATAACCTCCGCAGAAGACATAAAAAAAAGTGTCCGCTGTTAGGAGGTTTATCTTGTACGAACAAATGTCTTAGGGGAGGAAAAAAACATATGGTTTCTGTTTAGAGGTGTCCGTTTTTGTCAGGTTATTTTGTAAGCATTCTGTTAAAGAAGTTTGGTCGCCGTTTAGAGGTTATTTTCTGTGCGATTTCGTTCAAAAACGAAAAGAAATGGCCGCCGTTTGGAGGTGTCCGTTATCGGAGGTTCGACCGCATTTACGTTTCCATTCGATCCTTTTATACAAAACGCAATTTTTAAATGAAACTATTCCATTTTCTAGTGAATTTTTCGTCATTAATTTAATAACCTGTCCTAATTATCCTCGCCATTAACTCCATTGCAATTCTCCAAACCGGAAAAAGCCATCTTGCTAAAAATATTTTCTGAAAAGTCAAGCGAAACTGAGGGAAGTTGGACAGGTCTGGCCCGAAGGTAGCCAATGAAAACAGGGATTTTTCTTTAAAAAAAAAAAACCTCCCCAAAAACCTGCTTTACGGCTTATTTCTACGAGATTCCGTCGCCGCACTTTGCAGTGTATTTAAATTTGGACGTAAAGAATGAGCGAAATCATCACAGTTCGAGGTGGCACCCGTCCAACTCCCCCATTGCAATAAACCCGAATGCAAGGATTATTTTGGAATTGAGCGTGGACAAAGCAACGCGTGGGCGATCTGCTTAAGGGATGACACCCGAGGACTTTCTACGAGGAGCGGGGCCATTTAGGTGATGGCGCACGAAGAAAAGCGGAAAAACCTTAGCCCAACAAGTCCAAATCCAAAATTTGGCCGCCGATGAGCGCCCAAATTTTGATGCTGCTAGACTCGCGCGTGCACTTTCAATAACTTTATGGTAGCGGCATCGGAACAGTTCCATAATCTGTCCGAATCCTAAGTGTTTATTGTCTATTATCTTTCTCAATACGTGACTCGTATCGAGAAGGATAAAATGGCGAGAGAAGATACTTGTGAGGATTAAGGACGTGAGGATGTAATGAACAGAGAGGAATGGCTCGAAGATGACGGAAATTTTTGGCTGAAGAGCCCTCGATAAACGAAGAAACCCTAACAAGATTTTAGGACTGGTGGGATAAGGCAATGCAACACACGAACGATCTACCAAGAAGAGGTGCCACTCGAGAAGACTTGTGTGGAAAACTGGCCCCTATTTAGTTGTTGCACGCAAAGAAAACCTATAAAAAGTCACGTGGTGAGGCGCAAACTCTCGGCCTCACCACGTGGTGTTTTCTGCATACACAGAAAGTCCTCTGCTTTGCAGTTTGATGTTAGAAACGTCAAGAAAAACGCTGAAAACTCTACGTCGGTGAAGCGAGAACCCACGACCAGTATTCAGTAGGAAACACGAGAGAGAAGACACCAGTACTAGTCATACACTCAGAATACGAATATATTCACAAATTTTAAGTTAAATATCCCCGTTTTTACAAATTGTCATCAATACTTTTAACGTCGGCGCGAGTAAAACACGACAAATCTGCCAGAAAGCCGAACCTTTGATTTCTTTTTTCGTCAGAGGATTCAAATAACACGTACGAAGCAGAAATAGATTTATAGGACAAAAAAAGGGGGACTTAAAGCCAATTAACGTTATCCGAGACTGAAAAACGAGACAGAAACTACATAAATCGTTAGAAAAGCGCGCCGAAACACCAATTCCCCCTTCGTTTAGCCCCATAAATCAGCAATAAGAGCGAAGATTGCGAATTTCACGATCATTTTTAATTAAAATTAATCTATTTTTGTCCAAGAAATTCTCCTGAAAATCTCGCCCGATCGATTTTCTCCGCCGGTCTGACGCACGATTCGCTTAATGCGGCGCGGGCCACCAATTTGCATAACGTTTCTGGCCGCGAAAAACGACCTTACAGGTGAAATTACTCGACAAGCATTTCTGAATGTCTATTGTTTAAATTATATTTTGCGCCTAAAGGAGGAGGAGGAGGATGCTTCTTACACACACACAGCCAGACTTCGATTTAGCGCCATTGTCTGAGCCCCCAATATAAATCGAAGTGGGCGCTAAACCGAATTACCTCAATAGTTACCAGGCCCCGAAAACTGGTTTCAGAGCGGTTTGCAATGCAAAAATCCCTCATTTAGAAATTCATTCGCCGAAGGAAAGGTTACCATTGTCGAATGCCCTTTTTTTTACTTCACAAGACTGGCACTATATTAAGGTACGACTGCGTTAGAGGCCCATAAATAAGCATTAATTTGGCTTGGTTTGTGCTTGTACGTGGCAAAGCGACACGTGAGCGATCTGCCGGCGGGGGGAGGGGTGCTCCTGGAGGACTTTCTATAGAAAACTGGGCCCTATTTAGGTGTTACTAATGCGAAGAAAAATCCGGGAAACTCCAGGTGGACAGGCGAGGCAAGAAATTAATTTATCAAACTCGCCCGAGAAGGACTAAAATAATGGCACTCGGTAATTCGTTAATTAATTTCGAATTAACGGGAGAATTAGTTGGAGCCAATCTCTAAACGATCCGTTCACAAAAATGGGACGGGCCAAAATCCCAGCTAGATCTCGGTCAAATGACTTTTGGACCACCCCGCACGTGTGACGCGCCGCGCAAGACGAAACCATTTTAGCATATCCAGTATACTTTTATGTCAGTTAGACAACGTTCTTGCACCTTTTTATTTACAAAGCGTATGCGTCACAATGACGTTAAACGGGGGTAAAAAGGTTTTGTGTCATAGAATGTTCCCGGGAGGCACCCCCACCTCGGCAGATCGACCACGTGTCGCGTTGCCGTATACAAACAATCCAATCCAGAACGGCACCACCACGTCACGATTCACAATGGCATAACAATTTCGAGTCCATTTCGTACTTGATGGATTCTCCTAAATGACTTACAAGGATAACAAATGGAAATTTTATATCCATAATCGTTATTAAACGATCAATTTTCTGCACGTAAGTTTATATTTTTCGTCTCACCGTCTCGATCGATACGCGTCGATACAAAAGCAAAATGGATGTTAATTACCAACCTTCAAATTTTTTTCATTTAATTAATTACTTTTATATTATTAAAATGGCCGCAAAGTCCTCGTGTACCAGACACTGTCTGGATTAATTCATTTATTTTTAATGGGGCTTCGGTACCGCACAAGCCAGTACGTGGCAGACTGGTGACTTGTAGTTGGGAGTTCGCGCCGCCCCAAACCCCAAACTACAAGTGAAAAAAACTCTTCTTATGGGTTCAATTGACAGTTCTTCACTGTGTTTCTTTGAGGTTTTTCTTTGAGATCCCTCCCGAAGTCAGCATCGAAGAGGAGGAACGTGGGATTTGATTAACGCGAAACACCACGCTTTGCCCATTATGTCCATTGCGGAGATTTACCCATTATGATCGATTCGACCGGAGTGCCTAATCTGCCAGTATCCACACGAACGTGTGGAACCATTTGACACTCCCAACACACCGTGTTGTTACTCGCATAAATCTGGAGACTAAGCACTAGGAATGGGTATGAGATGGGAAAAGCTGGATCCGTTACGTCCGTGATGACTCTTTCCATGCTCTTCAACGGATGGTAAGGAGCCATCCTCCTTGGATCGGTAGGAGGCAACGCAACACATATCTGCTAAGGGAATGCCTCCAGCTATCAATATGTTAAATACGCGCGAACCCGCGACCGAAAACAGGTATTCAGTGGTTTCATCCATTGAACACTGGTTGGCCACACCCTCTTGGGTTGTAATCTTCATCCTCCATGAAAGAGCACGGAGATATTCGTGCAGAGAATGAGGAGGAGGAACACAGAACTTCCTGACAAGCGGGTTCGTGGCCGTTCCCCGTAGGCATACAATTTATTTAATGTAATTATTGCGGTTCGTTACTCACAAACGAACAACGATCCCATCTACGCTGTTGCAACTTTTAAATCAATCGAATTAAAATTCGGAACACGCGCCTACGAACACCTCCATTTAAGATCGGTCACGACGCATCGCACTAACGAATAAATAAGTAAAAGCTACAGTATTAAATAAATTAAGCTTTAGAACATCTGCGATAGTAGTAAATATCCCGATTTGGCGCCCGAGAAGCGGACGGTAAATCGAGTACGGCGCTAAACCGAAGTGACTCTAATAATAACGGCGTATAGTATAGAAATCGACAAGGGAGTATTCGTTGGCGCTTTATTAGGGCACCGCTAGTCGGGAGTACGTTATATCGAGGTCCTTTCATCCCTGTACCTTCATTCAATTTTTAATTAAAATACTTAATTACATTTTAATTAAATTAAATTCCTTTTAGAGGGAAAAGAATCTGCAGGAAAACAATAAATGCGAGTGGATATTTTTAGATCCGTAATTCCTCGAAATAACGCTAATTATTATCGAAAACGCATTGAAAATTATATTCTATTATTATTTTTGAAGGGTTCTCTATTGGAATTCTTGCTCCAACATTCGCTGAATTCGATGCGAATGTACCGAAAACTCTGGAGAAATTCTCTCTCTTCAGAGGAGTGTTTGATATTCTTGGAACGTGCGAGTGTCCCATTCCAGACATTCGTTTTGATTTTCTTATTTTTTTTAAGTCTCCAGAAGTTTTATCGTTGTTGGAATTCGAATCTTAAACATTCGTCACTAAACGCTGGTGCATTATCGGTAAAATACACGCGAATAAACTGATTGTTCACAAAATTCGCCAATATAAAATTACCTTAAGACGTTGTCTTCTCTCCCAATTTTTCTTTTTAATCT